GTAATGACTTTTGAAGTACATATGCATTGGAAATCAATAATGACTTTTGAAGTACAGTAAATGTAAACAAGAGGAACAAATGTGTTCAATGTATTCTTAAGCAAGTTTGGCATATATAAATTACATGAATGTGTTAGAGTATTCAAACCATATCTCACAAGATGGCTTCTCATCTAAAAGGTGTTGCAAAATCAACTATGTCAGATCAAATACGTAAGGAGTTGTGTGAGTATAAGAGAGATAATCCTGCAAGCACACAAAAAGACTTGCAGAGATGGCTTGAGGGAAAATTTCATTTGAAAGTTAGTCAAGGAACAATATCAAACACACTTAAGCGGTCAGATGACTATCTCTCTGCTAAAATAGAAAAGGGAAGAGCAGAGATCAAAAGACACAAACCAGCAAAATATCTTAATCCAGGGAAGATAAATGTCCTTGATACTATCATTGAGAATAATGCAGAGGATGACAGCGAAGATGATACAGTGTCTTTGGAGCCTGTTACGCGAAAGGAAGCACTTATGGCGTCGAACACTCTTCATAACTTTATGATACAATACAAAAATACAACACCTAAGCTATTGGATGCAATAAGAAAAGTAAAATTCTACGAAATCCTAAACCAATACACCCCCCTAAATTACAATACATATACATCAAGGCTATATGACAAATATTAAAGGAGTTTAACTTAATCCTTATATTTAGCATAAAAGCAGATGTTATAAACTAATAAATACTTGTAAAATCATTTTCAGGAATATTATATTTATTTATTTATTATTTATCCTATATCAAGAATATTCTATAATTAATAATAGGAGATCAATTCCTTTAAAGACAGAAATCATCAAAATATATAGAATTTGCTTTCTCCATCAAAATTTTCTCCGTGTATATATGACAAAAGAATCAAATTTCTAACGTATGATTAAGAAACACTTACATATATGTGCCGAAACTTGTTAGATTTTTCAATACTATATATGTGTGCGCGTATCTGTATATACATCTTATTTTTATTTTTTTTTAATGAAAATAGAATAATTAAATAAATAACTTTTTACCTTGAGAAAAACTACCACTCCAAGTATTTGATACAGCCAAAGAAAAAAAAAAAAAAAGCTTTTGAAAAATGTTTCCTTGGCTTGGAGTATATCTACTTAAGATAAACATTGAATGAAGCATTATTTATTTATTGTGAGTTAAAATGTTGATAAAATGATTTTATAATATTATTTTTATTACGTTAATTATTTTATTTTATATTTTATTCAAATATTATTTATTACGCGTATTTTTTCGTTAAACTCGTACAAAACTGTAACCTCTTGTAATCAAACCTCAAATGTTTTTTTTAATCATATTTGTTTTTAAAATTACTACCATTATTAAATACCAGCTTTTTAATTTTTTTTTTTTATATATACGAACTTATTATACGGATTGTATTTCTCTTTTAATTGATTTGATTACGCAGCATTACTTTCCTGATTTGTCCTCAGATTAAGGCACAACACAACCCAAAAAGGGCAATAAAATCCTACATGTTTCTCACTCTACTCCATGTCTTGTTTTGTAATTTCGAAAGGCTTCTTCTCTTCCTATATATAAAACCAAGCTCTTCAGTCTCTGTGAGCAAAACACCTTTTCACGGCTGAAACTCTCACACCCCAGAGAAAGAGAAAAAGGAAGATAGATACGCATAGAGAAAGAGAAACAGAAAATGCAATCTTCTTACTGTGTGAAGGAGGCAAAACCATGCGTGAGATGGGTTGAGAAATATTTCAAAGATTGCCTTTGCAATCTGAAAGATGACATATCCTTCGGTTTCGGGCTCACGAGTCTAGTATTCTGGGGAGTAGCTGAAATTCCTCAGATAATCACTATTTTTCATACCAAGAAAAGCCATGGAGTCTCCATCATCTTTCTCCTCACTTGGGTCGCTGGGTTCGTCAACGGTTTTTATTGTTATTTTTTAATTCGCTTAATTCAATATTCAATGCAATAGTGCATCTAACTTTTCAACTTTCTATTTTTTTAACAAAATCATTCGGATCACGTCCACTAAAGAAGGCACTATAATTAATTATTAGTTATGATGATTTGTTAAAAATTAAAATTATCTTGGATTTGATTCAGGGATATATGCAATTTGACGGGTTGCATTCTTGAACCAGCTACTGTGAGTAATTCTGAACCATATCAACCATATATTTTTTTTTATGAATATATATGAACCGTAATATTTGTGTGGTCCTGTCAGAGAGAGAGTACCCTGACATGCAACTGGGTGTTTTTTTTTTCTCTATTATCATCATCATATTCTGTACCAACCACTAAATTTTGTTTTCTATTTCATTGTTTAATTTCTTTCTCTATTTTCATGCGATTGTGGACTTACTAATTCTCCCTTTTCTGTTTCGTTTTTATTTCTCTTTTTGAAACGATGGATGGACAAGCAGTTGCCAACACAGTATTACACAGCTCTGGTAAATAATTAATTGCAAACGTCAATTTTTTCTGTACCTTCTTCAATTCTTTGTTCGTACAATATTATCGTTTTCTGTCGTTCGTTGATCCTTGGATTAACATCCTCTGCAGTTACTTTCAAACTCCATGCTCATGCATCTTTGCCCTTGAAATAATATTATAACAAAATTATAAATAAATATGTGCTGTTAGTGTTAGTGTGAGTCTCTAGATCTAAAGTGCACAAGAGGCAGTTCATTGAACTGCGGAGGATCTATATCCTATAATCCTTATGCTGAAAGCATATGTTCACCAATCATCTGAATATTCAATTAAAATCTTTTACTATCGACTAGTTTTTTTTTTTAAGACACATTTTTGGATACCTCAGACGCTAGTAGACACTTAGTGCAGTTAAATGAAAAAAAAAATTTATACAATAAAACAATATCTATATAAATAATGGGTGATATATAATATGATAAAAAAAAAAAAAAAAAAACTAATATGAGGACTAGTATTAATGGAATACTTTTAAAAAAAATAAGAACCCGGCTGTCAAAAATTCATTATTGTATTTTAAAACTTTTTTTTTTTACTGCAGTATTTTTTAAAACCTTAATTCAGATGACAAACGAGAAATACGATGATTTAGTTCTGAGGTTTGGTAGGATTCCAAGGTTAATTTAGTATTGGACGCGTGTCAGTTGTTCGGTCACAAACGAACATCGCTGGCTTCACTTGGTTGGTGGTGTGGTCTGGGCAGCCTAGAAATACTGCCAAATCGGCCTTTAACATACATTTTGTTTTGGGTCGAGAAAAAGTCACATTTGCTCTCTCTCTCTCTCTCTTTTTTTTATTTTATTTTAATGAGATTCTCACATTTTCCAAAATATATTGATTAACTTTCTTTTATAACAACATTGAAATGAAACTTTAAAATAAAGTAGAAATTACTTGATAATTTTATTTATTTTTTCAACTTAATAGAAATAATTGTGAGAGAACAAGAGTGAAAAAAATAGAAAATTGATATTTGTACAATAAAATTTATAATTAAAAAAGAGAAAAAATAAGTTCAAAATTTTATAAATAATTAATTGAGAAAAGACAAATACAAAAAAATGTAGTATTGTATAAATTGTTATACATACATCATTAATTTTAAAAATGAGAAAAAGAACAAGTAAAATTTTTTTTAATGCATTTTGATATGTTGTAAATTAATGATAAACTTTAATCACTAGGATTAATTTAGTGATTAAGTTGGTTGGGAAGGGTTAGAATAATTAGAAACAAGCAAGTCTAGGTTCAATCTTCATTGTGATAATAAATGATAAACTTTTAAATGTCATTATTATTAGGATGTTAATATCTTATTAAGATGCTATACATGCATACACACCAAATTCAAAAAATAAAAAAGGCAAAAAAAAACTCAAGAATAAGAAGAAAAAAAAAAGAAATTAGTTTTATTCTAAGAATATTTTAGTTGGTATTTTCTGAAAATATACTTTTTTTATAAAAAATTTAAGTATTACTAAATTTTAAATAATTATAAATATATTTTTGGTTTAACTTCTTCTAAGGAAGTATAAATTATATAAAAAATATTATGTGAAAAACCAGGGTTCTTTTGTTATCTGCATTGCCAAGCAGTAAAAGAAACTCCTCGAGAGGACAGATTATATACTGCAAGTAATATTAATAACACGACTATGAAATAATATAGGGCATAAAATGGCTGTTAATTAATATTAAATTTATATATATAACGTGTTTGGTTTATTTCTTTTAAATGATGATGATGGAGTTTCAACATAAAACCTCATAAAACTTATCTAAACCTCCCATAGGTATTTAGATTTATTTTTTTTATTTGGTTTATTACTAAATACTATTTCTTCTAAGAATTAATCTTTTTTAAAAAATTTGACAGATACGAAATTGACAGATATTTCTTTCAAATTCGATTATTAGTTTAATAAACTCTTGTTATAAATTTTTAACAATATATAAGAAAGAAAAATTTACCTTTTTAAAATATATATACAATTTTTCGTTATTATTGGATTAAAAAATCATTTTCCTAATTCTAAAATGTTTTTAAGCGAAAATCAAGTGGGCACTATAGGATTAGATTCCCCCCATACTCTACTATAGCCTATACTCGTACTTCATTCCTATTCTTTTTAACCTACGAAAATTGCAACCTTGATCTTATTAATGAGCAATCTATCTTTGGATTAACAGCTTTACACAATCACAACGATCGTATTACTACTGCAAATAGTATATTATGATTACATCTGCAGATGGTACAAACATCGTCAGAAGGTCATCAACAACCAAAGGGTACATTCCCACTTTCTAATTAGATTCTTTCCGAGTAATCAAATTTGAAATTCACACTCTTTGAGTTCAAATTAATTTAATATCAAGGTTTTCTCCAGACCCAAGAACACAATCTCACCCCCATCTTCACTCTATTATCATACTTTATAATGTTACAGGATCCTGAAGAAGAGAAAAAACCATTGAAGCCACCAAAACCAAGTAACAAGTCTGCAATTCCAATACCAAATGGCACACCCAAAGCATCACCTAGACCGGAGTACTATTATATGTATGCATATAATTTCTTCTCATTACATGACTGCTTTTATCACTATTCTGAATTAATTATGTACAAGAAGTAATTCTCATCTTATAAATTAGTTGTTGTAATGTTGAAATAAGTCATAACTTATTTTGTTAATCTTAGTCAAGATGTAATTAACTAAACTGTCTTTCCTTAAAAAAAAAAATGAATTGAATTAAATTAATTGTGCAGGTCAGCAAGATCATTGGCAGGGAGTGGTACACCACCGTGGGGAACCTACTTAAGAGCTGCTAAAAGTGGCCCTTCAGCCATGGCTTTGATAGACGACTCTTCTTCCGAGGATGAATCATCTCCAATTCCCTCTAATTATTCTCCAACCCAAGCTATGCCTATCCCACGTCCTATAGCTGTGAGTTTCAATTGTTTAACTCAAACATGCTGCTAGCAGCTAGCTTCATTGTATAAAAATGTAATAATTCACTCCACTTCTAGGATATTATTTGAAAATGTTTTTCTTGAATTTACCCCCAGAAAATGTTATTACCATATATGGTCCAAAATCTATAATAACGCGCTTACCATTTTAACTTTTCACTTAATCCACAATAATGTTATTTCTTTTACAATTAGTCTTCCACATTTGTGTCCTCACCTTATACTAATACATATATGCTACTTTGTTCGTCATATATTATGCACCGTTTCAGGGGAGTTATGGAACATTTCTAGCAGCTGCTGTTAATTTGCCTCTCAGGGGTAATGCTTTGAGAGAAGGGTACCTAGGAAGAAAGCTTTTGCAGGTAGGACTAGCCAGTAGTACTGGTACATTAGTGTTGATTTTGCTTTGCATAATTGTGGATTTGTAGTTGCTAGTTGCAAATCGCTAATAACTGATGCTCATCACAGGAGTACGAGACACATAGTGCATTTGGTCAATGGTTGGGATGGCTCATGGCTGCTATTTATATAAGTGGTCGGGTTCCTCAAATATGGTTGAATGTAAGTGTTAAATTAAACCATTTGTTTTCTTTTTCGGATTTTAACTATACTCTCTTTTTATAATATTCTAGGGTATTCTGATAAATCTAGGAGTTATGTTACATGTTTAGTTTTTGGACCGATAATTGTTTGACTCATTTTTAATGAAGTTATGTCACCCATTTTGTTGTTTATAGAGAAACTGAAAACTTATACAACTACTGGTCTAAAAGCTAATTGTACCGTGACAACTCTCTTTTCATTATCAGTTTGATTATATTTTTGTACATGCTACACTATTACTGATAAGCTGTTGTGTCCTCAATTATTGATCAGATTAAAAGAGGCAGTGTGGAGGTAATACTCGATTGATCTTAAAACCCTTGCTTTCCGATTATGAATTACGTGTACAAAGATCAACTAGAATTTCTACATTTTTATGTATATATGCTTTCCCTTTTGATCACAACAGGGCTTAAATCCCTTCATGTTCTTATTTGCATTGATGGCTAATGTCACTTACGTGGGAAGGTTCCAATCTCCACCCGTTGTACTTAAATTTGCATTCAATTATGTTTATTCTTCTTCAAATTTAGTAAACTAAATCAATAACTCTAAAATGTGTTGATGCAGTATTCTTGTAAGAACTACAAAATGGGAAAGCATCAAAGCTAACATGCCATGGTTATTGGATGCCGTATTTTGCGTGGCATTGGACTTTTTCGTATCCTATACATGATGCAGATTATTATTTTGATTGGTTTGATCTAACTAAACGTTATATCCTATTAAAGAAAGTAGCTAGGATTATAAGCAAAACCTTAACAACATATGACAGATAATATTGCAGTTCATCTTTTATAGATACTTCCAAAGGAGACAAGCAAATGATGATTACGAAGAAGCGGGAAAAGCTGCTGCATCTTGAATTTTTGTAGCTGTGATGTAAACGATTGATGTTGAATTAATGGTCACATTCCCAAAATTGAGCTAGTATTTGCGCTTAGTGTACACTCTTCAAGAGGAGGATGTATGCTATGTTATATATATGGATTATGGGAAATTAGTATAGGACGTGGATGTTTAGTTGTTGGAGACATGATAGCGGCTACTCTGAATTTGTTGTCTTAATCCAATAACTGACAAAATTGTGGGAGGCTATGACTTCCTCTGTAGTTTAGCTAATGCATTATGAAATATATTGGATAATTCAACTAAGCCATGAATTTTTTATTTTATGATTGAATGAATTATTTAGCTTTATACATGAATGGATGACTAGTAGATAAATGAATTGAATCGTCACCACTCACCTCTGTTTAAGAGGCATATTCCAGGCTGGTTTATACTCGAGACTCTAAGGCCTTCCTTCATGTATAGTCTAATAAATATCACTACTTTATAACTCGACAAAGAAAAAAAAGTTTACTTCCCAGACTACCTAACTTGGATAATTCAGTAATACAAAAAATAATACTTAATTCAAATATCAAATCTCAAATCTCAAAGGGAAAATAAATAACAAATAACTAAAGTAGAGGCAAGATTAGTATAGGTTAATTTGTATTTATCAAGAAGTGTTTTTTCTGAACATAGGTTCTCTTGATGTTTATGGATTTCATCTCTCTCATGTCATAGTATTTTACGTGTTTCATTAATTAGTACAGAAAGTTTTCCCAACGATCATTCTCTTATTGATACAATGATACAATATTTACCAAGTCAAACTTCAACTTTACCAGAATAGTGGATTATTGTTTCAATAAAGAGAATGGTAGATGAAGAAAACCTATGCAGTGGAAGGAACACTTTAAATGTTTGAAAATTTTAAAGTGAGACTCTCCCAAAACAAATATAACTGAATAAATACAAAGATTTCAATAAAGTTATCTAATAAGCTAACAAATCAAAAGTCAGTCTCATATTAAAACAATAATATATGCAATGTATTTTTTTACTAAGTTTCTTCATCTTTGTCGATCTTGTGTTCTTGTTTCAATAAAGCGAATGTGAGTTCGAGAAAACCTATATGTAGCATAAGGATACGTTAAATATATGTTTTGAAAATTTTAAAGTGAGATTCATCCAACATAAGTATAACTGTATAAGCGGCAGATGAGATGAGACACTTGTCCCCTAACTTTGCGTGTCATAGATGTGACACCCTTTAAGTTGTCTAGCATGTCTTATGGTGTTTGGTAAATCAAAAAGAGTTTGGGAGGCTCTTCAGCTCCACATTTTAAAAAATCCAATTGATACAAATTTTGTACTATGGATTATTAATAATGTTAGTGACAAAAACTATGGGACTTTGTTCGTAGTTATTTGGTGCATTTGGAGAACCATAAATACTTCAATCTTCTAAAATAAAGAGACCCCAATTTGTTGCAACTGAATAAGGATGGTGTCTCTCTAATTCATTAATATTCTTGTACAATAATCGCACACAAAATCAAGGTTATGTCTACTCATATTCTTAAAAGAAGGAAATCGATATCCTAACTATTTTGACTAAAGGTGTCTCCTTTATTCATAGTCTAGTTATTTGACTTATGTGTCCCTTAATTTATTTTTTTCTTATTCATATTGATTCTATGGGGATCT